GCACTCCGGTGGCCTGGTGGTAAGGAGCTGCACTGCAGTCCCGCAGCCACACTGAATCCACCAGCTGCTCTGCAGGGGAAGGATGAGCAGTCTTCTCCCATGTAATTTAGTGCCTCTGAAAACCTGCTGGACGGTCAACTGTGGGTCATTTCTGACCAGGCAACACTTAACAACAACATAGAACCTGGTAGGGCCAGGTTATTGTGAATAGAACAATCAGAGAGAAAGGGGTTTTTTGGGAGGAAATCCCATGAAGTAAATTTCAGCATTTTTTTTCCACAACGTTCTTTAAAGGGACAATTATACATATGTCCCAAACTAGACCATGGTTTATCTAGTGTGATATTTAATATTTAATAATCCTCTTCTATTTCTGTGTCCCTAGAATGTCTCACATTAAAAAATCATGAATAATAATAGGACTTGACTTAAAAGTTAAATCTGTAATTTCCACGAATACAGAAATTAAAATTTCCTCCTCATTATTCATTTATATCCCTATTATCTATAATTTATAAGCTTTATAGTTGTTATTTGTGTCATTTACTTAGTCTTATTTAAAAATTCAATTTATTTCTTATTATCCATGTATATTCTGAATGTGAGGAAGTGATCTTCTGGTCTACCTAACAGAATTTATCCTGAGTTAGAAATTAGAAAAGTAAAGATTCTGGGTCAAACATTAACTGTGAGCATTAGGACTCAATGGCCAGATCCAACATCTGAGTTTGCAGGGGACCAGACTTGGAGTTGGGGGACAGTCTGAGGCACTGGCCCCGGCACTGGCACCCTGTGAGGTTCTGCCTGCCTACAGTCTCTAACTCTTGCTTTCAGGCTTCAGTGAACAGTTTGGGAGCATGCATCATCAGTGTAGCACTGTTCCAGTCAGCAGAAGGAATCGTAGACTTCGCTATACCTGAGCCCTCACAGAGCTCTAGGTGTGTTTATGTTTCTCCCCTTTTTCTTTCACTCAAAGAACTACAGCACAGAGATTAAACTGATCATTTTGGACTGGACTGTCCTCTACATCCTGTGCCACACAGTATTGTTTCCACGTGTTTGCTAACACCCTGTTTATCTCTGTTGTCCCTTTGGAGGGCCCCCACACTTTAGATGAGTATGAAGAACCCAGGAAGACCCACAGGGAGTAATAAACACTTCTCCAGTGGGAGTTGGACCGTTTATCCCCATTAACCTACAAGTTTCTGAATAATCTCTTCTCTTCCTGAAGCAGGAAAGGAAATGAGCTGTAAGGATTTCAATGGCTGTTGGTGCCGAGTTGGACCCGGCCCTTGGTGGACCCTGCAGCGGGTTTTCAGAGGCTGCACATCACATGATTGCACAAGAGGAGATGGTGCCTGCTGAGCAGCTGGTGTGTTTGAACCACCTGCCTTTTGCTTGGCAGCGCAAATCCTTAACCATGGGTACCAGTTAGTGGGAGTCACTTCCAACTCTACAATTCAGTCCCATCATATATCCCCAAAGAACTTCACAATGTTAGAAAAAGGAACTTTTTTTCCATTTACAAATGGATTCTGCCAGCATAAATAGGTGTTATTTGCTAAGAAGCAAAGAATGCAAAAATACATTTAAAGATTATGAAGTGAATAATAATTAGATTAAGTTAGTTGGCCATGACTTCCCCTTCAAGAATTATTCTTGATAGCTTTCTCAAGGTATAATTCACATACCATAAAATTCACTCCTATAAAGTATGCTATTCAGTGAATGGTTTTCAGTATATTCACAGGGCTCTGCAACCAGCCATCACTGCCTTCTTCCAGAATATCCTCTTCACCATATCAACCCTTTATCCGCTGGCATTCGGTCCTACTTCTCTCGTCCCCAACACCTCGCATCTACTCATTTTCTTTTTAACTCTGTGGACTTCTTGTACTTCTTATAAAAAGAATTCTACAGTGGCGAGCTCTGGTGGCCTAGTGGCAAGAAGGTGTACTACAATCTCAGAGGTGCACGGTTCAAATCCACCAGATGCTCTGCTGGAGAAAGAGGAACAGTCTCCTCCTGTACCAGTCAGATCTGATTTGACGGTACACACACACACACACACACACACACACTAATAAAATAAAAAAATAACTAACTTTGGGGGGAAAAAAGAATTCTACAATATGCCGCTTTTCCTGTCTGCCTTTGCTTAGCTTAATGTTGTCAGGGTTCGCCCATAGTATAATGTTGTTGTCTTTCATCCTTTTAATTCCTGACCAGTGACATTATATGTATTATTAAAAGGTAGAAACTAAGGTGGCTTCCACTGTCCTTATGGGTAAAAGCTGATTACAATTACTATTAACAGCATAAAAACTTGGGAGTTTTAAAAAATGTTCCGTTTAGACATTCCATATTATAGAGTGAATGTTGTATCTTCTGTTGGGAATCTCAGCATTTGGAGATTAGAGCCGGTAATTAGTATAAGCTTGTTATGTAACAGGGCTGTCATCTTGGGAAAGAAACGCAAAGGCTCTTCACAGAGCATTCAGAAGGAGAATCAGAGGCTTGCTCCACAGAATCAGATTGCTTTTCGAAAAACAGGAAGGCCCAGCAAACACCCATCTGCTTTGATCGGAGGAAATAATGTTTGTCTCTGATGTCAGAGTCTTCCGTGCAGGGCCGTTTGAAGCCTAGAGGGCTTTGACACGCGCAGGATGAAAAGCCAAGAATGTCTTTGCTACTAACTTGGCATCTTGTGTTACAGGCACATAAAAAATCCCTCTTTGCTGTTGAACCCAGTGAAGGCCTGGTTCCCCCGGAATCTTCCGTCCAGCTGACAGTGACCGCCAACCTGGATGACACAATGACATTCAAAGACACCGTCATTGTGGAAATCAAAAATAGCAGCACCTATCAGATTCCTGTCCAGGCCACAGGGATAGGCTCCACCATCGTCTCGGATAAGCCCTTTGCTCCAGAGCTCAATTTGGGAACACAATTCAGGTGAGAGGTAACATGGACCACTTTTTACAGATGGCTCGTAGACGGCACAAGCTGAGCCTTCCTTCACTTTGTTGTTGTTGGTATATGTTGTCAAAGGCCAGAACTGACTCACAGCTAAGCAGATTTTTCAGAGGCTGTAAATTGCTCTTCTTTCTCCTATGAAGCCCCTAGTAGATTCGAATTGCCTTTGGGTTGGCAGCACAACTCTTTACCCACTAGGATACCCCTTGACCTTACTCTTCTCTTATTTTGCCCATCAGCTATCAAAAGTGTTTCATAAGTATAGTTTAATTACCTTCTCCGAGGTGTGGTGGTCTTCACAGAGAAAGAGATGTGTCAAAGGATATTTAATCTTTGGTTAAACTTACAGTGTCTCTTCTGTGAAAAATTTAGTTGTTGTTATGTGCCGTCGAGTTGTTTGCGACTCATAGTGACCCTATGTACAACAGCCCTAAACCCTGCTCTATCCTGTGCCAATCACACTGCCTCTTACACACCCATCTCGATTACCCCAGTCGCTGAATCAATCCATCTCATAGAGGGTTTTCCCCTCTTGCGCCATCCCTCCACCATCCCAAGCATGATGTCCCTCTCCAAGGATCTGTCCCTCCTTGCAACATGCCCAGAGTATGTCAGACGAAGCCCCAGAATCCTTGCCTCCAAGGAGTTGCTTGGTTTAATCCTCTCCAGGATGAATCTGTTTCTTTCTTGGCAGTCCATGGTACATTCAATACTCTTCTCAGATGCTCACATATAATTTAGCCTCTTTGCTTCCAGTACTCTGGAATCCCCTCTCCATATTTGTGTGGTAACATGAGTGTCCCTGAACTCATTGCATTGAGTCAACTCCAAGTTGGAGAGACCCTACTGGACAGAGAGCTGCCCTCCCATCTTCCAAGGCTGCACACCGCCCCAGAAGCAGGCTGCTGCCTCTGCTCAGTAGCGGGGCTGACCGGGTCTGACCACCACCTTTTTCCTTAGAAGCTGAGTGCTTCACCACTGCTTCACTTAAAATATGCCTGTTGTTGTTGCGGTAGAGTGGTGTCAGGATATCATACGTTACGCAGGAAAGAAGGGAAGACCGTCTGCAGGATGGGCTCAGGTGTGTCAGAGATGGGGAAGACGACACAGGACAGGACAGGACAGGGTTCAGGGCTCTTGTTCATAGGGTAGGAGTATGAGTCATATTAGCCTCAATAGCACCTAAAAACAACAATCTCTTTTAAAGCTTAGAGGACATGCGTGGTTCCCTTCACAGTGCCCGTAGATTGAGCTCAGCACACGATGTGGCACTCAGTCAGGGCTCTGCTTAACGCCACTGGAAATTTCTCCTCCCTGATCTATATTTTGATGTCATTTGACTCTTAAGAACTTTTTTCCCCCCATAAAACGGGATAGCTTCACACATGAACTGGACCTGGGTGTCCTATAGTTTCCTCCATCTGCTAGGAAAGACCAAGAATGGGCGAGGCAACTTTCCCACAGCTTTTAGCTAGAAAGGGCAACTCTAGGAGACTTAGAGCCTTTAGTTAGGAAGGGCAACTTGGGCACGACCTACAGCCGTTACTGGGAAGGGCAACTGGGCGTGAAACCCCAGCCTCTGGCTCTCAGTCTGTTCACTCCGTGGGTGTATCTGGCCTTGGCTCATCACGGGGCTAATCCCAGGAGTATCATGACTTAGTCTTCTTACCTTTGTAAAAAAAAAAAAAGAAAAGAATTAATTGTCCATTTTGAAAATCTTTTTGGATGAACTAATTGTAAGGGTGGATAACATGCCCAATGTCCTCTAAAGACACGCCCCTCTTTTCCAGCCTGGACACCTATTCTTACCACTTCAAGTTGGCCAATAAAGGACGTCGGCTGCAGCATCTCTTCTGGATGAACTATGATTTTTATCCGCAGGCCAAACTGAGCAAGAAGGGCCAGGCTCGGAAGGGCCGGGACTCCCACAGACCCAGCGAGGCCCAGACCCCCACATTTCAGCTGCACCCCATCAGGATGGAGCTCTGCCCGGGCCAGACAGTTGATGTGGTGCTCGAAGGCTATTCTGCTACTCCCAGGGTAAGGGGACAGCACTTTCAGAAACTATTTTTCTGCTAAATAAATCTTTGCTGGAGAAATGTCTTAGACGAGTCCTTTGGCATTTATCTAAGGAAAGATGCGGTTTCTCAAGGCTAGCACAGAACGCTGAGTTGCCATGGCAGCACTCGGGGTTCAGCTCTGTTCAGTTTACCACTTGTTTCTATAGTTACCAGAGACCCAACCTCAACGTACCAGTTGAAGCCATTTTCATCAATGATGAGCCAGCTGGTCGAGGAGCACCCAGTTTTCACCCCAAATTAATAATGCTGGATACGCTTCTGCATATGCCACCGAATGATGAGGTGATCTTCAGTTTTCTTATAAAATAGTAAACAATAAAAACTGAAAGGATTTCACTTCATTTCATTTGCATTACTTCTTCACAGAACATTTTCCAGTAAAATACATTCCCTGTGTAAAAGAAAGACGTAATCTCCAAGTGTGGAGGATATAATACGCTCTTTGTATCTGTTACTCAGAGGTTCAGCCATCATGTATTATGTGTCACCCAACAAACGCTGGCCACGAGCACGGGGCTTGACCCCAAGGGGTGGAAAGATGAATGGGATGCGGCCCTGCACCTGGAGACACTGGTGGAAAAACGCAGCTACAACACCGTTAGCAAGAGTCAGTCAGATCTTTTTAAATCTTGAGTTTCTAGGGGAATGTATTTAGTTTTAGGTCTACTGAAAGCTTTCTTTTTTTTTATTATTTTTTTTTTGTGTGTGTACCGTCAAATCGGATCTGACTGGTACAGGAGGAGATTGTCCCTCCTTTCCCAGCAGAGCATCTGGTGGGTTTGAACTGTGGGCCTCTGGGATTGTAGTTGCAGTTCCTTGCCACTAGGCCACCAGAGCTCCCTGAAAGCTTTCTTAAGTGTCCTTCCCAGTTATTCTGCAAATTTAAAAGGAGGTTTAAATTCATTAACATCCGAAACCAGAGCTGAAACTTCAGCACAAGCTTTCCTTTTGGTCTCTTCTGCTTTATAGATATCTGGGCATTTCAGGCCCAAAAGGAGTGGCCTCTGCCGCCCAGTTTTCAGGTATATAAACATACATGCATGACATCAGAGCTTCCTGAGAGACACCGTATGCTGCCACTGAACTATGATAAACACCTTGAAGGACTTTATCTGCCTTGTTGAGCACTGTTATAGAGGGTTGCTCGTAGCACAGCTCCTAATAGGTGTCCCACCATTAATATATTGACTGGCTGTATCAATTATACCCTCAGGGGCAGTAAGAAATGAACAAAGAATCCGTCTGCTCTGGATAGTTGAACATCAGCGTGCTCTTCATAGGTCATTACGTTTCCTGAGTTAGGATTGTTCCATGTACGCTGGTGTATTTTCTTTGCAGATAGCCAGAGAGAAGCTGGTTTGCCATGCCATCATCGGGTCACAAAAGAGGAAGAGCCTGGTACTGACTGTGGATGTCACCTGTGAGTTCATAGCACCTGTTATCCAGCTCTCCACCAAGCAGCTCCTGTACCGATTGGAGAAGGTCAGTGGGGTGGTACTGGGTGCCCAGACTGAGGGCTTTCATCGTGATTGTGTAAGCTCACTTAATAGGAAGCCTGTTACATCCATAACCCAGCCGGTGTGTCTGAAGCTTCCGTACACATTCAACTAAAAAATGTGAACCTAAATCTACGGTCTTTTGAAATGTAAATGTCTATGGAAGTTCTGCTTCTTTTATTCCTCATGTACAAAACCAACGTGAGCTTTGAATCAGCCATTCAACTAACCAGGTAAAAATAATAGCTAAAGAAAAGGCTAGGATCGATTATAATTATTAGTAAGAATATTGATGAGGGACTGCCAGGCATAGTACCAAGTTCACTGTGTGCATTTTCCCCACTATTCTTTGTGATAACACTGTATACAATAGGTGACTGTACTGTATCCCTAAGATCTATGTGTCAGCTTGACTGGGCCATGGTTCTCAGTGTTCGAGATAGAGCCTTTATAATAATCCCCCACCATCTGTTAAGTCTGTCGGTTGCAGAAGAATTAAGGATGAGACAGGACACCCTCAATCCCATCCCGGTCCTGACGAGATTTAAGGGAGGGTTCTCTGAGGTACAACCTGCAATAACCGTTCCGTACAAGGGAGAAAAGAGGGAAGCAGAGAAAGGGGCCCTCAGGGCCAGCAGGCAAGAAGAACTGGGGGTGGAGTACATCCTTGGGGCCCACAGCCCTCCACTAGGAGGTTCCTCCACACAGGAAGAAGATGGCACCCACAGGCTGTGAAAAGGAGAGGAGGGCTTTCCTCCAGAGCCAGCACAGCCAGCCTTCCCCTGGGATCTGACACCACAGTGCAGCCGTGGAGCCTCCCAAACACGAGGACGGCGCACTTCCGTGTGGTAGCCCCAGGTCAACCAGACGGAGGTTCCCCTACCATTCCCGTGGTGCACTTGAGAAAATGGAAACGCAGCATAAGCTGTTATGTAACTCACCTACTGAAGCTTGAGAATATTCAACTTAAACTATGTGATATGCACACTTTATTCGTGATTTGTCTCTTCACGTGGCTATTAAGGGCCAGGAATTCATGAGTGAAGTAGGGAAGAGGGAACAGATTGTAAAGGCGCTGAGGAAGAGGTCTTCCCTAAGCGACTCATTCACCATTCACATCAGACATACGTGGGGAGTCTGGTCTGAGGCGGGCACTGAGCTGATGCTGAAAATTGAACTAGACATGCATCGTCAAAGAGCAGACTTGTCAAGATCACAGCTGGAAAGAATGTCGTAAATTTGAATATACATTACGTCAGTGCTCTGAGAAGTACAAGGTGCTGGCAAATAGTATCAAGTACATTGTTTGTACATGTGGCCTTAGCTTCCTTGAAGAAGTGCTTCAGTTGAGACTTGAAGGAAAAAAGTAAGTGTGATCACAAGAGAGAGTAAGAGGATTGTGGGCTTGGCTTAGGAAACAGCTTGGCAAATGCAAAGGACGTCAAATCTCCCTCGGGTAGATGAAGTGGGTCTGGCACAATGTGTGTGACATGCTTTGGTGGCATACTGTTAGTCTTTATTCTAGGTGCTTTTTCAGGGCTTCAGAGAGGGACTGACAAGGTCAGATTGATTCAGCAAAACAGTCATGGTGCCTTTTGGCTCCCTGAGCACCAGCATGGCGGTCAGCCAGGACAAGCGCCTTACAAAAGGTGGCAGAAACGGAGGCAAGAAAGTGGTTGATCCATTTCCTAAGAAAGATCAATATGATGTAAAAGGCACCAGCTCTGTTCACTATGAGAAATACCGGGAAGACACGAGTCACAGGGACTCAGGGAACCAAGGTCGCATCTGATGGACTCAAGGGTTGTGATTTTGAAGTGAGCCTGGATGATATGCAAAATGATGAGGTTGTGTTTGGAAAATCCAGGCTAATTAATGAGGCTGTTGAAGGCAAAAACTGCCTCGCCAACTTCCATGCATGGATCTTACTCGAGAGAAAATGTGCTCCATGGTCAAAGAATGGCAGACCATGATTGAAGCTCATGTTGATGTCAAGACCACTGATGGTTATTTACTTTGTCTGTTTTGTATCATTAAAAAAAAAAAGCAACCATTAAATTCAGAAGACCTCTTCTGCTCTGCACCAATGGGTTCGCCAAATCCGGAAGAAAATGATGGAAATCATGACTCGAGAGGTGCAGACAAATGACTTGAACGAGGTGGTCAATAAATTGATTCCAGGCAGCATTGGGAAAGACATAGAAAAGGCTTGCCAGTCAATTTATCCTCTCCAAGATGCATTTGCTGAATAAAAATGCTGAAGAAGCCCAAGTTTGAATTGGGCAAACTCACAGCGTTGCATGGTGAATGTGGTCGCTCTGGGAAAGCTTCTGGGGATGAGACAGGTGCTACGAGGAGCCAGTTCAAGAATCTGTTTAGAATTCAGGCTTAAAAAACAACAACAAAAAAAAAAAGAATTCAGGCTTTTAATAATGACAAAGAAGTAAAAGTTATAACTTATGGGGGTGGGGGAAACGTCATGGTTACCGTGTGGAATATTTCCTAGGAACTGGCAGGCTTGATAGATGGGGAAGGGCGGGAGGTAGGCACAGGAAGGCAGGTGGCGGGTTTCAGATACAGGATGCTAAAGTGACAGTGGCCAACTCCATGTGATGGAGTCCTGGGACAGTTCTTCCCGTGGTTAGGAAACCTGCATTTCTGTTTTGCCAAACTCTCTCTCTTTTTAATGTAGTCAGGAATATATTTGTTGTCAATGTTTTCTCTGAATTTGGTGGTGTCATCTTTTCCCTGAATATAGTTATTCAGAGAAAACTCAATGAATATGTATTGAGTAGCTATTCCGTATGAGACATTATAATAAATATTAAATATACAGCTTGGTTTCTTAGTAGTTTAAAAAAAAAAACTTCAGCCCATAAACACACATAAAAATATGTGAATAATTCCCCTCCTTTTTATCTTTAAATTCTTATGCCTTGTTCTTAAAGAAAATCATATCCTTGCTTAAATGCCTGCTGTTTACATTTATCACTAAAGCATGAAAATGTTTTGAATACAGCAGTCAGTGCTTATTGACTTTTTAAAAATTAATTGAGTTATGACTCCATGTTTATTTGCTTTTGCCCATCTCTCTTTCCTCCCAGATATCAGCAGTTTGAAATCTCTCCTGTTTGCTGTTGCTGTTGTGTGCCATCAAGTCAGTTACATCCCATAGCGACCCCACATGGCAGAGTGGGAGCGCCCCCCTGGACTCCCTTAGCCTGCTCATTTCTACTCACACTGAACCCCTCTCAGGAACGCAGATGAGAGGCAGCTGCATTTCTCAGCTTGAGCTCAGGCCCTGTCGGGTCTGCTACCCCGAGTTAATTGCATCAGCCCCAATTATGTGTTCTGTCTCTTTGTTTGTGGCTCAAGGCAGCACGTCTGAGTTTTAGCACATTCTACTCTAATAACATGCATCCTGCCAGTGGGAAGAACTTTTTGATCACCTTCTCCACATCTGATCTGCTTTAGAACCATTGTACCCTTCCTGAGCCCCAGAGATGAACCCACATCTCCTTGGAATTGAAAAGGTCATTTGCAGACCGGCATCTTCTGTCCTTCATGAAGTTCCAGCAGCAAATTCTGTCTGTTGACATTTGGAGACAGAGAGCCCAGATTGAGGCAGGTCATTTTAAAATAGAATGGGTTCTCTCTCTCTGCACCGACTCCTTCTCATCCCCAGCCTCCGAGCGTCCTGGTGCCCGAACCAGCCAAGCGTGGCTCCTCCACTTGAAAAGTCCCTGCAGTGGCTCAGCAGCATCAGGGAGGCCACCGGGCAGCACTTCTCCGGCCTCGTGAAGGACGGGATGCAGTCTGAAGGCACAGAGTCCTGCTTCATTCCTCAGACTGAGGGATTCGGGGTGCAGATGCAAGGGGTGTGTCCATCACCATGTCCATCTCACCACGCATCCCAGCTCCATCCCCTATAATAATTTGGAGAGCCCAGAGGGGTCTACCAGAGTGCAGCAATGGTACGAGGCTCCCAGGACCTGGGCAACCCAGGAGCCACAGTGGAAGGAAAACAGTGCTGGACAAGAACCTGAAGACAGAGTCCAATCAATGCAAACTGGAGGATCCAAAAGGAACACAGAGAAAAAGCAGACCAGAGCAAGGAGGCCTCGAGGTAAAAGAAACAGAAACCTACAGAGAGCTGTTGGAAGAGCCAGCTCTCTGACACCAGGAATGGCGAGACGAGGAATTCTGAGGCTTCCCCACACATCCTGCTGTTCTTCAAGCCCCTGACCCTAACCCCACCTCCTTGAGGGCAGAGAGGATGTAATGTGATCTACCTAGAAACGTCTGGCCCAAAAGCTATTTCTAATGCATTCTCCAGTGGAGAAATTAAATCTGGTTAAGTTTAACAGGGTGAAAAGTTGCTTCTGAATCAACTCAACCAGTGTTACCCAACTGAAAATTTTACAGGAAATTGTTGTAAGGTTTTGTTAGCATAAAAAGATAAGCATATTCATAATCTGAGTATTTTCTGCTTTGCAATAAAATACTATATAAGAGTAAGGTGTTTTATTCTTTATAATTATATCTGAGTTTTTCCATAAGAACATGTCACTAATTTGTTAGACTTCATTTTATGATACTGTGGAAACTTTTAAGGTTCTGTATATAGGCATGGCTTCTGGAGGGTTTTTCTATAAGGTTTTCAATAAGATCGAATCTGTGTTTTATGACTTATGTAGGTTCATGTCTCAAGAGATTATCAATACATTCCAAATGAGTTCTCTAAACTACACACACACACACACACACACGTACGTATGTACATACCTTTCTCTATCATTGACAAGTCAGAACCAGCTCATACCTGACCCTCCACCATGCTTCCAAAGCTGTACATTTCTTGGAAGGACCTTGCCCATGTTTCTCCCTCAGAGCCAAGAGTCCATCCAGACTCCATCACCACAGTTCATTTATATGCATATGTGCATGTGTATAGACTGACGTAGATGTAGACTCCTATATAGAGTTGTTGTTATGTAGCATTGAGTCAGAACTGACTTAAAGCTGACCCTCCACTGGCCCAAAGGCATGTGGTTTGAATTCACCAGCTGCTCTTTACCACTAGGCCACCAGAACCCTAGATATATAGACCTAACACGTATCATGATGGATGGTGAAGATACTGAGATTGTTCCCAGCTTTAGTTTGCTTGACTCCACAATCAACACTCCTGGCACCAGCAGCCAGGAAATTAAAAGGCGTATTGCATTGGGAAAGTCTGCTGTCAGAGACCTCTCCAAAGTATTGAAGAATAAGACTAAGGTGCGCCTAATACCGACCATGGTCTTTGCAATCACTTGCTATGCGTCAGAGAGCTGGGCAATGACTTGGGGTGATAGAGAATTGATCCTTTGAGCTGTGGTGTTGGAGAAGAGAATTGAATATACCATGGACTGCTAGGAATACGAACAGGTTCATCCTGGAAAGGGTGAAACCAGGCTGCTCCTTGGAGGCAAGGATTCTGAAGCTTCGCCTGGCATACTTTGGACATCTTGCAAAGAGGGACCAGTCTTTGAAGAGGGATGTTGTGCTTGGGAGGGTGGAAGGACAGCGCAGGAGAGGATGACCCTCAATGAGATGGATCGATTCAGTGACTGGGATAATGGGGGCAGGTGTGTCGGAGGCAGGACAGAGCAGTGTTTAGGGCTGTTGTCCATAGCGTTGCTCCGAGGCACAGGCAACTCAACAGCACATAACAGTAACAACAAGATATATTGAAACACGCCATGGTGTTCTACTGGATCATCTGTTGGTATTTAATTACCTGTTGGTAGTCAGCTGCTCTCCCGCCTGTGGCGTTAAGATTTGTTCCTCTGGAAATAATACCCTGATGACACAGAATGGCAACTCAGAAACAGGGCGATTTTGGTTCCTTTTTTGTTTATGTATGTTGTTACTGTGTGCTGTCAAGTCGGAACTGACTCATAGCTGATCCTCTGGTGGGTTTTTAGAGGCCCTCAATTGCACAGAAGGAGAGTGCCTGTCCTTCTCCTGCAGAGCAGCTGGTGGATTTGAGCCACGCACCTTTGGGATTGCAGTGCAGTACTGGGCCATCACTGCTCCCTGTTTCTATATTTCTATTTCTATATATAAAGTTGTATGTATGAATATAACATTTTACATAGACATGAAGTTGCTAATCTGCCTTGTGCAGTGAGAGGTTAGAGTGCTGTGTACTTACTGTATTCATCGTAGCTTGGTTTGCTTCCCCGTTTTCCTTTTTCACAGAAACCCAGTGCTGTGCTGGAGCCCAGTTATCAGCCGTTGGCCATAAAGAACGTCTCCACGCTGCCCTTGAACATGCTGCTCTCCACCAATGGGCCCTTTTTCGTGTGCGAAACTGACAAATCCCTGTTGCTCACTGATTCCAAGGTAATGTGATGGGGCAGTCAGCACAAGCTCTCCTTGGGAGATTTAGGGCAATAGAGGAAGAGAATAATTGCAGTATTTTTTTAAAATCACCTTTTTTTAAGAACTTGAGCTCACTCTGACAGTGACCCCCTCTCTTCCTGCTCATTGGGTTGAAGGTAGCATTTGGAAAGCAATAACTTTCTGCTAATGAGAGTAAAGGATTTTGAACTCCCCTGAGTGGGTCAAGTGGATTAGGGATAAGGAGTTATGCTGCCAACCTGAAGGCAAGAAGTTCAAATCCCCCAACTACTGTGAGGAAGAAAGGTGGGCAATCTTCTCCCGCACAGTTGATTTACAGCCTCCGAAAATCTACTGGAGGGTGTCCTGTGAGTTGATTCTGATTCAGCCGTGCTTGCCAGCAGCCCTCATATCTGACCAGAGTCCACGTTCAGGAAGCCAAGGAGCCAGAGCCTGGCCTTCAAACCAGTAAGCGCAGGTGGCAGCAGTAAGAAAGGGTGGGTGGCACGCAGCCATTGAAGGCCGTCAGCACCTGGTCATCCCTTGTGGGCACGCCCTCTGAAACCGACCCCTCTGTGTGTGAGCTTCCCGTTCCTGGGCGTTCTCCCTCTGAGCACTTTCCACAGAAGGTCCATGCTGTTTTAGAGAAATGTCTAAATAAAGCCAGCTCCTCGCCAGCCTTTCCCTGGGATAGTGTGAGTGTGGATACCAGCGTCAAGAGATTCACAGGGATTTGACTCAAAGAGAGAAAAGAACGAATCTCCCAGACAAACTCCATTCAGCTCTGGAGGGTCATTTTGAATTGAACGGGAAACAGCAGAAAATAGATAACAGTGCTTAAGAGCTAGGATTGCAAACAGTAGAGAAGAAATTAAATCACCTAATCTCTCCCTTTCTGGGCCACTCTGCCAGTCCTCTCATCCTCCTCCAATTGGTCTAATAAAGCCTTTTGTAAAAATTTCTCCAGCAAAAGTTTCTCCCACTTATAAAGGTCATTTCACAGTTTAATAGACTTTCACTTAAAAATATTTCATAAGTTACGTATTTGTAAGCATTTCTGTTTACAGTCATCAGTGCTTTAACTCCACAGTGCTTATGAAAATCTCTTCCGTCGGTAATTCTCAAAGTTGTCTTTACTTTGGTTTCCACACTAATAAAATTTATATATGTGGGGGGTGTTGTGTATATATATTTTTTTAAGCTGTTGTTGTTATGTGCTGTCAAATTGGAACCAGCTCACAGCTGACCCTCCAGCAGGTTTTCAGAGACAGTAAATCACACAGGAGATGGCTCCTCTTTCTTCTACAGAGCACCTGATGGATTCGAACCATGACCCTTTAAGTTGGCAGCTACCAGAGAGAGCTCCTGTGTGCGTGTTCATGTGTTTGTACATATACATATGAATATATCTCAAAACATGAAGCAAAAGCACACCTCACCGCTGTAGGGTGGGAAGTGACTCATAGCTGACCCTCAAATTGCTTGGGAGGACATTGCCGGTGTTTCTTCTTTGGAGGCACTGGTGGATTCGAACTGCCTGATTCTAACTGTCTCTAGGTTAGCAGAGCAACTACTTAGCGACTGTTCTACCAGAGTTCCCTTATGGATATACAGGTATGCTTTTGAAAAGGAATGTATATGCATCGGAAAAGAAGAAGTCAGTTGTCCTGGTTCACATCTCGGGTTGGAAGTGCGTTGCACAGAAGTTGGTCATTCTCCACTCTCTTTGTTTGTAGCCTTTGAGACTGGAGGTTGGTGAAGAAAAGAGCCTGCTGGTCAAGTTTGACCCCTCCTACCGCAACGATCTGAACAACTGGGTGGCCGAAGAGCTGCTGGCCGTCAAGTACGTGGAGCACCCTCAGGTGGACAGCCTGAGCCTGGTCGGGGAGGTGTGCTACCCCAACCTGAGCTTCGAGACCATGGAGCTGGACTTTGGCTGCATCCTCAACGACACCGAAGTAATCCGCTACGTCACCGTCACCAACAGCAGCCCCCTGGTGGTGAAGTTCCGCTGGTCCTTCCTGGTGGAAGACAAGGAAAACCAGATAAGGTACCGTCCACAGAGCTCTGCTGCTCTCCTCTTGGTCTCTGTGCTGGGCTCTGTCCCGACTTCCCTGGATTCCGAGTCTCTGGTCTCTGGTCTCTGATGAATAGTCTGTATTCTGACAACTAAACATCGGCAGAGGAAACCAAGAGTACTCCATGCAAGGTGTCCAAACAGGTAGGAGTTGTCGGCCGTTGTGTTGGAACTAACTCATCGCTGACCCTTCAGTGGGTTTTTAGAGACTGGAAATAGCACAGGAGGAGACTTCTCATCCTTCTCCCACAGAGGTGCTGGTGGATTCGAACCATGTGCCTTTGGTTTGTCAGCCTCACTCCTTCAGAATCCCTTAAGGTCCACCATACTAGCAAATTGACGTCAGTAGGTGGTGGGTGGAGGTGGTTGGTTTTAAGTGCCATTGTGTTGCTCATGGTATGACCTTATGAACAGTGGATCTGAACCTTGCCCTATCCGGAGCCGTCCTTATCCTCTGACATACCTGAGCCCATTGTTACAGGACCTGTCAGTCCATCTCTTGAGGCTCTTCCTTTCCCTCTCTTTTACTGGTCCCCCATACCTCCAGACGTGATGGAACAAGCTAGATGCATTTCCAAGGACTGCCCCTCCAACAACTAGCCTGAAATATGTGAGACGAAATGTCACTATTCCTGCCTCCAAGGAGCACAGTAAGCCTGCTTTACCTTAGAATCTAGTCACTGACTCACTGGAAATCTGTTGTGGGTATGTGCCTTCTAATCAACCACGACTCCTAGTGACCCAGTAGATACGAAGCGTGTCCTGTCCTGTGCCATCCTCACAGCAGGTGAAATAGCTCATTGTTAAAGTCACTGTCAGAGTTACTGCTCGAGTCACTGTTAAACAGTCCATCCCGGTGAGGATCTTCCTCTGTCCCTGACCCTCTACCTTCCCCAGAAAGATGGCTTTTTCCAAGGACTGGGCCCTTCTGACAACACGCTTATCATATGTGAGACTGAATTTCACTGTCCTTGCCTCGAAGGAACAACCTGGTTGCATTTCTGTCACTTAAAGAGAAACCAGGTCTTTGTAGCGTTTTCTTAATAAGCATTTCCAGCCCAGCACCCAGAGTAGAACTACATTGAACATGTATGAGTCTTCATGTTCTCTCTTCTGTGTATTTGAGCGAGTGTTTCCATTCTGACTCCCGCCAGGGGAGATAATACACTAACGCCCGGTGCTGTTGGGCCGGCTCTGGCTCCCAGCATCCCGCTCCTGCAGAGCAGAACTGCCCCACAGGGCCTCCAGGGCCGCACATCTTTACAGAAACAGCCACCACAGAGAAGCTGGCAGGGCTGAGCCATCAGCCCTTCCGTTACCTGCCAAGGATTTAAAGCACTGTGCCACCTGGCTTCTGTTTAGGTCAAACGTAGCGGGAAGTGGTGAGTGCCTCGAGAGAAAAGTGGATTCACAGTATTTGTGTTCAGAAGAGTCACTCCTGTAAACGGAATTGAAGTTCAATAGAAGCTAAGTGTGGATCTAATCTTATTTTGGAAGTGGCCCTTTCACACTGTAAGCAACCTGTTTGCCTCGGCCCTGCGTACGTTCCCGTCTTGTTGAAGAGCCTCTTCCACGGTCAGGACGGTTGGGCTGCCATGTCCTTCCCTGAGGAGAGTCTTAGCGACTCCATTTCTAGCACCGAAGGTGGAAGGGACGGTCTTAGCTGAAGCGCGTGTTTTTCCTCGGTGCTGCCTGTGTGTCGTCTGCGTGTTGTAGATGACAGCCACCCTTTCCTCTCCCCGGCCGGTTACCACAGTAACGCAGCTCCCTCGCTCTGGATGTCTTCCGGAGATATCTAACGAGGACCTGGCATAGCGCTGAAGCTGCCAGCCAGTCCCCAGGCCAAGTCCACTCATTAAATGCCATGGGCTGTTTGGATTTGGAAGGAGATTCTGTGGATGGTAAACACTGACGATAATTATGGAAAAACCAGCCGAACTGACTTAATGAGCTTTGAATACCAGATTAGGTGATGTTCGTCTGGTGTAGCACAGCTAAATGACTATGCCTTCTGGGAGCAAGGCTTTATAGCTTTCCTTTATGTGGAGAGGCTGTTTCCATAATGAAAATAATGAGAATTTACAGGTGTATTTGGCTAATAGGGAGATGATACACTTACTTTTTCATGGATTTAAGTATTATGTAACCTTTTCTCCTTGCTCCCTGCTTCTACCTCTTTAGTGTCTTCCTGTCTCTTGATAGTGAATAATGTGATTGGGTTATTTCTGAAGCAAAATATAGTAACTTCTGCTAGAACTCATTTATTCATTCATTCAGAGTGTCATTCAGGAAACATTTGACATGACTCTTACACACCAGACCTAATGTGAGACATCAGAGAGATAACAGTGAGCAGGACACGGCCCCCGACCTGAAGGACATCAGTCTAGTGGGGGAAATGGACGTGTAGCCCACAGTGGGCACATGCCAATGCCAGGCTGGGAGGAAGCCCCGAGGGGTGTGGCTGCCCAGAGGAGCCTGAGAGGCTTCATGGAGGAGGCACAGTTCAGTGTTCCAGGTGAAGAAACAGGACGACATTCGAGGCACTGTTGCAGGTGGTCCCCAGGTGGCCTGAGGACAGCTTGAACTTGCCCTTGGATCCTCTACCATCAGGTTGTTTCTGGCTCTGCAGGGTTTCTGAGATTATGAGTCTTTACAGGAGAGGGCTTTTCCCCCCTCAGAGCAGCCACTGGATTCGAACCACTGACCATTTCGCTAGCAGCACACAACACACTGTGCCACAGAGTTCCTTTAGTGTTATCTAATGAACAGGCCCTTACTTTAAAACAACTGAACTCACCCCTTCTGGTGACGAGTCACGCATCACAGCCACCTCTTCTCTTTACATCATTGAAAAGACATTGAACGCTAAACAGCGGCCAAGGAAGAGCTCCATGTCCCTCTGACTAACTGCAGTTTCAACTTAAGGACACACGTAGAAAGGGATCTCGTTCATAACTCAGGGACCTCCTGGAATTACTGGTCACTGCATTGCAAGTCACAGAAAATCAAAAGTTAAGCAGAAATGACAATAACAGGAGAGAAAATTCATGGCCATTTCCTCGCTGAGGAGGTTGAGCTCTGAACTCACTGTAATATTCATACCAAGATGCATTACGGAGGCTGCAGCCAAGAGACAGCTTTGAGATCTTTCCTCCTGAAGTCAAACTGAGGTCATTTCAGGACACAGGGAAGGCCCGAAAGTGCCCGAGGACTGCAGGTGTCCCTGGCTGTCTCAAACATTAGTCCCTTCCAGAAATATCTCTACCGCGACACCCCACCCCACCACCTCTTACTGCTCAGGCCCTTGAAGCCTCCACACTTCTTTTTCACGTAGAAGAATTTGGAGACAAGAGCAAGTGTTACAGCCCTGGGCTTAGAAAGCCAACAGCTGAACAAGTCAAAAGAGGGTGCAGAAAAAGAGTAAGTTGTCACCACTGGCCTTGGGTAAAGAATGAACCCACTTTTTAGGCCCTTGACTCCCTCTCTGACTCTGCCCCTAATTGTATCTGAACACATTTGACCAAGGTACTGGGAAACCCAGTAGGAGTTAGAACTTCTATTAGTTTCCTGTTGCCAAATTGTCAAAAAAATGATGACCCAAAACAACATAAAATTATTCTCTTACACTTTTGGACATGAGAAATCCAAAGTCATGTCACTAGGCTGAAACTAAGGTGTGAGTAGGGCCACATGCCCAGTGCTTCCTCCAGGAGAGAATCCATTGCGGTGCGTCCATGCACTCCTGAGTTCATGGCTCCTTCTGCCATCTTCAGAGCAGCATGTCTCCGGGGTCTTTTTACTCCCTTTTCTCTCTGTAGTAGAAGTGCCTTCCTCTCCTCAGCCTGTCTCCTCTAAGGACACTTGTGATGTCTGTCACTGGGACCACGCAGATAGTCTAGCAATAACGTCTGCATCTCAAGACCTTGAATTGAATCACACCTCGAGAGTATCTCGTCCTATAAAGTAGCGCTCACAGCTTCTGGGGATTAGGATACAGACGTCTTGAAAGGACTGTTGGTCAGCCTACCACATTGCTGAACTAGCGTCCAGAGTTCTCCTGCTCATGTCACCCTCAGCAGGTCCACATAAATTTTAAAAAGATCTGTTAAGGAATCTGTTTGTTGCTAATGTTAGAAACCGTACTCAAATCAACTTTTAAAAAAGAAGACAGAGAACTTCCTGGCCCACATAACGGCAAAGTCCAGGTGTGAACTCCAGGCACTGATTGATCCAGACCTTGGACAGGCTTCCCTGCCCCTCCTGTATCCCCACCATCTCTAGGCTCTTCCCTCTGCTGTGTTGGCTCCATTCTCAGTTGGGTTCTGCACACGTGGTTCCAGGATGGCTTTGGCAGCTCCAGCTCCTCATAGTCTAGGTTTAAGTCCAGGAGGAGGAACTTAAAAGACTCTTTCCCAAAAGTAAGTCATAGTAAACATTTTGTAAAACTCTCTGGCTCTTGCCTCGTTGTGTGTATATCCCTGAACTAAGTGCCTGGGAACTAAGTGCTTTCTCCGAGTCAGGCCGAAAGTAAGGAACAGATGAGGACCCAGAGGGAACCAGGCAGCACCCAGCACAGATGCCCACTTAAGTCACTGCCAAAGCCCAGCGTATACCCCTTGCTAGTCTGAGCTAACAGGATAGACATTGAATTATAAATCAGTGTCAGCTTCTTGGAAGGGCATTTAGAAGACAAGACCACCCTCCCTGTGCCCCCACATGTGAGAGTATGCCCTCGCTTGCTTTGTAAAAGATCCTGCAGGAAAGCCTTCCTGCGTCCCCAGCCCTGCTGCTCTGTCCCCGGGAAGCCCTGAGGGCCAGCGTAGTAGTCACCTTCACATTTCCTTCTTCTGCACCGTTTGATCTTTCATATGAAAGACTCTGTCTCTGTCTTTGAAGCCTTAGAAAGAGACCACCAGAGCAGTGTGAATGAATCTCAGCTTTCCTTTGAGACAGGCCTCTTTTAGCAGCAG